GAGTGTGAATTTTTACACAGTCTTGCCTTCCCAAAAGGTTTTCTTATCCGGTCAAGAGTAGATTAAACTTTTTATCCCATCTAAACTGCTACCATTAGTACCACCCGGCAGGACTCGAAACCGAGTCGGGTTAGTGCAGTACGCTAAACTGCCGAGAGTGCCTTTGGGTCACAGATGAGATGTGAATTTCACATTATCTGGTTGGATTGTCGATCAAGCAAAGTTTTATTTAAATACAACCTTATACATACGATCTACTGGTAGTCTCGAAAGCCCACTGATAAACAAAAATAAGTAGTCGATTGCTTTAGCAAATACAGATTTGCTTCATCGACAATCCTTGAAATTCACATCTGCCCTGTGAGTCAAGAGCACTCATTGCAGTCTGGCGTACTGCACAAACACAACTTGGGTTCGAGTCCTGCCGAATGGTACCGACGAGACTAGTTCAGGGGATGTCGAACGTTCATTCTACTCCTGGCTGGATGAGAATACCTCTTGGAAAACTAGTCTATGTGAAATCCAATAAAAACCTAACATCTGCTCGTATGATTGTGGGAAACTTCGACTTCCAGTCGCCTCATCACCATCCGCACTCGTTACGGGAATCGAACTCGGGCCGGGATTGTACAGTGAAGCTGGGTTTCGATGAGTCTCTTAAAATGACTTTACAGTGGCGGTTCCAGTTCCGTATGAAAGTGCTTGGTTGCTTAATCCCACCGCAAGATGGCAGCTGATTCCGGTGGATTTTCAGCTCTGCTCGGTTCTATTGCCATCCTGTTGCCTCAAGTATGTTTATGTATGTGCTGTGTGTGTGTGTGTGTAACGTTTGTATACATGTTTTGTTGTTGTTCTGAATTATGGCCGGTATTACGTACTCTGAGTTAAACACACCCACACGTTGACACATACACACACACACACATACACACGCAGACACATAAAGTCAAAGTATCCTGATTAATATAAACGGGATGTACCTATCGAAATGTATATTTTTTCATTTTTTTATTTGAGTACATATACGATGTAGGAGAGAGCCGGATACTTTTGTTGTCTTGACGCTTTTGCAAGAATAGGTTCCAGCATGACGTACGAAACGAGAAAAGTTGCCTTGACAATTGCCCAAACTTAGTGTCGTATTAATGCCAAACATTGCTGCAAAGTGACCGGAATCAGCCCTCATCTTTCTCTGAGCTCAATCAAAGAATATCATGATCAAGGATACCTTCATTACAAAATGACAGTATTGTTGGGAGGACTTTCATGACGTATGAAAGTGCATGAAGAAGCGCTTCGTAGGTCGATCTCAATCCCTTTGCACTTCAGCCGTTTGGCTTTTATACGACGTCCAGGTTTATGCAGTCCATGGGACCTCCTTGCTCGTTACGGGTGAAATCGGACTGAGCATTCGTCCATCATTTGATGAACCTCATCAGAGCTGGGTCTCATTGCTGCAAAAGTCTCAAGTTAGCACGAGGGTCTCTTATCTCAATTAACAAAATAGAATAAAAAAGTCTAGATAAATAGAGAGTGATTTGGCCAATTATCTTTCATATTGGTCCTGCTACTTTTGCTCGAGTGTGTGCGTGTGTGTATTTGTTTGG